TTTTTTTAATTTTTTTAAACGATGTATATTTCACACTATATACTATAAATAATGTATTAAATAACTTTTCATTTTTATTTTTTAAAATTTTCTAGTTTCCGTATTTCTTTACTGAATTTTTTTTTTTAATTTTTTACAATAATTTACATAAAAAAAAAAAAAAAAAAAAAAAAAATAGTTTAACTATGCATGTAACTATCAATTATTGATAAACGAAAAGAGGAGAAAATAGCGTGTGTACGTTAAATTGTATCCGATAGATTAATCCTATATAATTTATAAAAATTTTTTACATTTTCAAAATAGTTCAAAATTTTTATTATGTTGTTTTTTTTCTTTTTTTTTTTTTCTTTAATAATATCAAATATTATTTGCATTCTGTGTGTGCATATACTTTTTATTGATGGAAAAAAAAAAAAAAAAAAAAAAAAAATTCTCAAGTTATATTTGGAATAAACATATTTTCCAAGAAAATTTTTTTTTTCTATTTAAGTGTTTAATTGAAAATATTAATTTAAATTCTATAGTAAAATACTAAAAGAATTTTAAATTTTTTATAGGAATATTTTGTAATATAATATATTATTATATTTTTTTTTTGTTAAAAAAAACTTTATTCTTTTATATTAATCACTGAAAATAAGTATTTTTTATATTTTTATTTTTATGCACATATGTGCATAAATAAAAAATAAATAAAACTTACAAACTTTTTTCTAACGAAATACATAAATAACGAAACATTAATAACAAAATAAAGTATAAATATCTGAGTATCTAAGTTATTTTTATTATACTTATTGTTTTTTTAATCTCATTAGATAATTTTATATAAAAGCAATTTTAAAAATAAAACAAAAACATATTACCCTCAATATAAAAATAACTGAATGTTAAAAAAGTGTAAAAATAATTAATCATAAAAATCAGCAAAATTTTGTAATTCTATAAAATATATAAATTATTATTTTTAAAAAAATATTTTAGAAAAATTTTATTTCATTATTTCAATTAACACATTAAAAGTTGTAGAAATAATAATTGGATATATTTTAAAAATGATAAAACTATAATTTTATCTAAAAGGATAATAATTATTGTTAAATAAGGAAAAAATATATAAAAATACAAAAAATGTAAATTTATATTACAACAAAAAATGAAAACATTTCTTTTGGAACATAATTTGTAAAGTTAATATAAAAATAAAATGGTACAAATAAAAAATAAGAAGCATATATCGTAAAAATATATAAACTTCAATTAAAGTAGATCTTAAAACAACAACAACAAAAAAAAAAAAAAAAAAAAAAAAAAAATATATATATCACAAAAATATTTACTAAAATATTTTATTAATTTATTCTCCAGGACAATCTACCATTGTATGTTTTAAAGAATCAAAACTTACTAATTTAGAAATATATTCTTCCCATAAATTTGTTGAACTACAATAAAAGAAAAAAAATTAACGTAATTAAAATTAATAATATAAAATAATGAAAATAAAGAAGAATGTATATTATTTTATACAATGTATGAAATCAAAGAGTTAAAAAATAAAATAACAATATTATATAACAAAGCAATATGGTTCATAAAGATTAAAAAAAAAATAATATAATTATAATGAAAAAATAAATAAAATAATATTAATTTTATATTAAATAAAAATTATGTAAACTTTATTAATTATTTAAAACTCTTATTTTATTTTTTAAATATGCTTACGTGTAGTCATAGGTGTAATAGTGATCTAAAATTTGAAATATTAAATCATCGCACAATGTAAAATAATAATTGGATTTTTTAATTTTTGTAGCACAAAGAGATATATATTTTTTTAATGAAAAAGCAATAGAATAAATTATTGAAAAAACGTTCAAATCATAATCTGTTAAAATATTATATAAACAAAAATCAATAATCTTTTTAATATCCAAACTATTTTTAAATTTATATTTTAAAATTAAAATAGTGTTAAGCGAAATAAAATGTTGTATAAAACTTAAAATATATTTTCGAATACTATAGAAAAAATCATTATGTGTTTTTTTTAAGATATAATTACATAAATTTCTAATATACTTGTAATTTATTAAAGTTATATTGGATTTATTTTTTTTATATTTCTTTTTCTTTTTTTTTTGTTCTTTAATTTTAGATTTTTTAATTATTATATTTTTATAGTGAATCTGATTATTTATAATGTTTAATTTAATTATGTTCGTTATGGTATTTAAGCATGTTATAAAAATATGTAAAGAACTATTTAGATAATATTCTTCAAAAGGTTTTTCAAATTTTTTCGTAATAATAATATGTCCTTTATTTTCTTTATCCCATACATTATTGATTTCTCTTAATGAAGTATTAATGCTTCTCTTTTTTTTATGACACTTTTTTGATTTTACTAAGTCATTATTATAAAATATTACATTTTCCTTTTTAATATTATATAATGATTTCTTAGTACATAAAAATAATAAAAGAATAATATCATTTAATAATTTTTTATTTCTTTTATTTTTATAAATATTTAAGTATAAATGATATAAAATGACAACAGATAAAGAAAAACAGTTATTTGAAGTTTTTGATGACAAAAAGAATTTATACTTTAAGAGTTGTACTTTACATATGTTTATAATTCTTTTTTTGTTTTTACTATTCTTTAAAATATCATTATTTTTCTCATCAAATAAGGTAACCGTTTTTAAAAAATCTAAACAAAAAGTAAAATAAGCAGCAACTTTTAATGATATATATCTTGATTTTATATCTATCCATTTAATGTTTTGGTTTTGAATCAATAATGTATTTCGAAAAATGTGTCTATCAATTTTTCTTCTATATAATTCATATTTTATTTTTTTTTTTATTCTACTAAAAAAACTTTCAAAAAAAAATATTTGAATGAATTGTTCACATTTCACATTTTTATAATAAAAATAAGATATTCTTAATAAGAGTTTTTTAAAAAAATAGAAATTTGATGAATCAAAAAAGACCCATTTTTTTTTTATGGGCATTAAAAAATTAATAATTACAAAATATAAATCTTCTAGAAGTACGAATATTGAATTGACATTTCTTAATTTACTTTTAATTTTAATATTCTCAATCATTTTTTGAATTTTTTTTTCTTCAAATAATAATAATATTTTACTTTTATTATAATTTTTTTCATTCTCAATATAGATAGAATCTATAATTACATTTATGTCTTCATCATTTGCTATTCCTTCTTTTTTTTCTATAATTTCAAACACGTATGTCGCTTGGATAAATAAATTTTTTATTAAAAAGAAGAATTCTTTCGATAATCTAAATGATAATTTTTCATTAATTTTTTCTATTGAATTTAATGTATTTATGAAAAAAAAAATAAAGCATATATACCACTTAATGTTATGAATAAATGTGAAAAAGCAATCAAATGTTTTTACTATATTTTCTATTTCACTTATATTATTTATAATTAATGTATTTTTATTCAATCTATTTTCACAACTAAAAAATAATTTTTCTTTTTTTATTTTAATTTCTTCATTTATATAACTTTTCAGGAGTATATCTTCACCTAAATTTTTAAAAAAATTGTCGTACTGAAGCTCTATTATCTTTCTATCTAATTTTTTTTTTTTGCTAATATCATATATAAAATTTAAATGGAATAAAACTAAATTCATTATTCTAATAAATTCATTCTCTAAATTTAATTTCTTATTTACTTTTATAATATGCGCACTTTTTTCTTCTGATAATGCTTCTTCATTATTAAATTCAAATTTTAAAAATTTTAAAGTTAGTAAAGCTTCTTTAGTAAACATACATAAATCTGAATTTTTTGTATTAAGAAGATATAAAAAGGAATTAAAAGATTTTATTAATTTCAAAAATAAACTTTTTTGATATTTATTTTGACATTTTCCAATTAAAAGAATAACAAACATAATAAATCTTTCTGAACATTTTTTATCATTTTTTATATAAAATTTATAAACAAATAGAAAATCGTGAACAATTAATTCTTGATTGCATAATTTACACATGCTTAAAATTATATTTACGCATTCATAAATAATATAAATGGTCAAATCATACCTTACAACTAAATTAATAATTGTTCTATATATTTCTAATATTAAATTATCACTTAAAATATTTGATGTGGGGGTAAATTTTTTATTAATATAAAAAACTTTATTTTCTGTACTGTCTTTATAATTAAAAATTTTTATTTTTTTATATGTTCTTTTTTCGTTATATTTATAATTACTTATACTGTTTATATTCTTATGATTTGTTTCAGAGAAAAGGTTACTTAATCTATGTTTTTTTATTAAAAAATTAAAGTTAAAATATTTTTCTATTTTTTCATTATCATCCTTAATATTTTTATTTAATTCATTTTTATTATAAATATTACTATTTTTAATAAAAATTTCTTCTCCATCAATATAACGTTGTACATAAGTGTTATTTATGATTTTTTTAAAAGAACATATAGATAAATAATCATCATTTGAAATATATTTTTCAAAAGTATTTGATATTATAAAAAGATTTATATAATTTAATTTTGCAAATATTTTAATGTGATTATATTCTGTCCATTCATTTTGATTTACTAAATCAAGGAAAATTTTAAAAACCAGAAATTCAATAAAATTTGTATTATCAGAAGATTTATTTAATAATATAAATAATGTATTCAAGCATATAAAATAAATATTTTGGTATTTAAATTCTTTGTGATTGTTTTTTATAATATCCAAACAAATGCAAATTAAATGATTTAATTCATGTTTTGGACAATAATTTATTTCTTCATATATAGAATCAATTAAAAAATTTTTGTAAGAACTAGCTAAAAAGTCACTTATATCATCTAAATTATCATTGGATGTATATTTATGCAATAAATTAATTAAATTTTTAATGTTTTCGTATAATTTTAAATTTTTATTACCCACATTATTTTCAATTACTGAATTTATGTTTCTTTTCTTATACTTCATGTTGGCATTTCAAAAGAAAAATATATTTTTTATAAATGAGAAATATATACTGTTTACAAAAAAAAAAAATAAATAACGATGAAATAAAAGATAAAAATATTTAAAAAAAAAAAAAAAGAATATTAAACACCTGTGTTAATGTTTTTAATGAATTAGTAATATTTTTATTTATAAAGTATATATCCTTGTGGGATATATTTTAAAATAAAAAAAAAAAAAAAAATAGTATATTTCATAACATTTAATTGATTAATTAAAAAAAATAAAAAGTAAATCTTTTTCTATAATAATTGACATATATTAATTTTTATTTTTATTATTATTATTTTTTTTTTTATTTTTTTTTTTTAATCAAGTATAATATAATTCATAATAAATAATTTTAATTAAAAAAAAAAAAAATTTAAATTATAAAATGGTAATTATTAAAATAAATATTGAAGCTTTCGTAATATGTTTATCTTTTAAATTATTTATTAACAGAAAAGAAAAGAAAATATTTTTATAGTTATATAATCTCTAAATAATTTTATATTCCTCTTGTTTATTGAACATAACTGTAACACTGTATATTTGTAAATTTTTTTTTGATCTATTTTTATGAAAGATATTGATAATCATAAGTTTAAAAATTCTTACTATATTTCTCAATAAGTTTAATATTTCATAAAACTTCATTATATTATTTTAACAAGAATGAATTATATAATATTTTTTGTGCTTAAACAAAAATAAAGTCCATAATTTGATTTCTTCTTATATAAATATGTGATGTAATCTTGTGAATAAAATTCAAGATTTTGAATAGTCATACAAAAAAAGAAAAGTATATATATATATATATACAAAAATGTTAATGATTAGCTATTAATTAAAATTATAAAATTTTAAATTTAATTTTCCCAATAAAGCAATAATATAACAAAAAAAAAAAAAAAAAAAAAAAAGTTAAGAAAATTAATGAGGTTATTTGTAGTAAAGTACCATGAAAATATATACAATGATAAAAAAAAAAAAATTTACTTTTATTTTTCACAAAACATTTTAATTGATCCATCACTAGATGCAGTTAAAAAATTATTTTCATAGCAAACAATTTTATTTATAGCAGTTGATGAATGTCTAAAAAAAAAAAAAATTATGTATATAAATATATACAAATATATTTGTTATTAAAATATATATATATATATATATATATATATCAATGAATTTAGAGTAATTTAAAAGAAAAATATATATAATACATATATGTACATATATAAATGAGTATATCATACCTAAAAGTTTTTCCTATTTTATTTACAGTTAAACTCAATTGATTTTTATAAAATTCTAAGTCTGGTAATGATTTTTCTCCTTCATTAAATGATAAATTACAATTCCATATTTGTATATATCCATCCCTAAATATGAAAAAAATAGATAATAAAAGTATATTTTAAAAAAAAAAAAAAAAAAAGAATAAAAACAAAAATTAAATACCTATCTGTTGTTATGAAGTTGTTATGTTGATATTTAGATATACTTGTTATATCTACTAAGTGAGCATTTTTAATAATTTTCATAAATCTATTAAATTCATTTGTTGTATTATCATTAGAATAAAGCCAAAAACGAAGATGAGAATCTCTACTTCCAGATACAATTAAAGAATCATAATTAAACAAATCATCTTTATTTTCATTGTACTTATTAATAAAATTAAAGGGATATTTATTATTCATCAAATCATTAACATCAAAATGAGAAAGAGAAGTACACCAATCATATGAAGGAGGATAAAAAGATACCCATCCCTTCTTCCATATTTTCACAGTTTTATCTCTACTTGCTATTATTATGTTTTTTAGTATATTAGAATCTTTTATAATATTTTTTATATTTTTCTTTATCGGAATATGAGTTATATATTCAATTTTATTTGTTATTGGTACTTTTGCCAGCCACATATTATCATCATTTTTTCTAATATCAAACACTTTTATAAAATTCTCACTTCCACATGCACATATACAATATTCTGATTGAAATTTCTCAACTTCTTTTAATGTTTTTAATTTATCTTTTACGTCTTCATCAATATACATTTCATTGATAATGTTATAACATTTTTTTTCTTCTTTTTCCTTTTTTATTTTTACACAATTTTCATTATCAGTACGATTTTCATTTATTACTAAGGAATTATTTTCATTCAAACTTTTCCCTATTTTAAAATTCTCTTCGTTTTTATTAGTGTCATCATTATTACTGAAAGAATTGAGATTGCTATCACACTTACTTTCAAAATTATAAGGAGTTGGTAATTTGTTATTTCTTAACACTAGAGGAATATAATCGGATTTATTGTTCAGCAAAGAAATTAATAAACTAGTATCATTTTTATCACTATAATAATATTTTTGTATAAAATTAGGATTCATTCTAATGTCAAACAAATGTACATAACTGTTAATACCTGCGAAAAAACAATTGTTTTGAAAAGATATAATTAAACTATTGATAAAAGTACTTTTTTCATTTTTTAAAACATTATGATCATAATTCCATATAAATCTGTTATCATCCCACAACTTTATATTATTTATTGAACTACTTAAGAATTTTAATTTTTTATTATTTATTTCTTTAACACATAAACCACTTACTCCATATTTGTGACAATTTTTGATACATATAGTTTTATAATTTCTTTGGGAACTTAAATTATCATATGTACCTATATTATCAGAATTATTAATGATTTTTCCTTCTAATTCACTATCAATGATATTTAAATTATTTAATGATCCAACTGTCGGTGAATCATTTATTTTATTTTTAGAAAAATTTATATTATTATCATATGTACTTTCTTTTTTTTTCATATCAACTTTATTTAATCCAGAAAGTAAATTGTTTTCAACTACTTCATTATAATTAATATTACTTTTTTCTTTAATTAATATTGTATCTTCACCTAATTGTGTAGAATAAGTTTTATTTATTAAATTAGAAGGTATTCTATCTTCAGAATTATTTGCAATAAAATTATTTATATTTTCTTTTTTTACTACATTTGTTTCACTATCTGTTGAATTTTCTCTTTCATTAATTTTTATTTCTTCTATTTCATCAAATACTTTCTTTTTATTCTTTGTATCTTCATTTGTTATGTTTTCTTTTTTTATAAAATTGACTTCATCTAAAACGTTATTTAAATTTTTATCTTTTTCTTTAGAAATATTTTTATTATGTTCACTGTATTTTTTATTATCAGAATTTGGTGACTCTGCATGACACTTTCTCTGTTCTTTATTTTTTACTCCATCGAAAATATGGGTATCTAATTTATGAGCTATTTTTAAATTTGTATCTTTTTCATTTTCACATATATTAGTTTTTTTTGAAACAATACTAAAATCAAATTTATTATCATTCAGATGTTCTTTATTCTTATCATATGAAACACTTTTTTTTATTTTTGTTTTACTTTTACTATTGTCATTATTTACAGACAAAATATTTTCTTGAATTAATGTGTTTTTTGTGCTGTTGTTTATATCTGAAATAGTACATGTATTGTCTTCTAATATATTATTCAAAGAATACTCTTCATTATTAATATAGTTTTTTATTAACGTGTTATTTATTTCATGATTATCTCTTATATTATTTTTGCAAATATATGAATTACCATTTAAATAAATAGAATCTGAACTGTTGTTTTTTATAACTTTTAAGTCATTGAAATTATTTTCATTATGTGAAAATATTATGTTATTTTTATTATCTTTTAAGAGATCATTGCTATCCGTAGAATTTAAAGGAATTTTTGACAAGGTATTATGTGTGTCATATATATTATTATATGAATAATTTTTATCATTTGTTGTATTAATTTCATAATATTCTTCATTATATTTATCGCATAAGTTATTCTTTAATTCCTGTTCTATGAAATCTTTTTTTTTTTCATTTTTTTTTTCTTTATCATTATTACAATCTGAAAAATTATTATAATGATAAAAATTTTCGTTATTGTCTTTATTTATATAAAGAAAGCAATTGTCTATTGTTTTCCTTTTCACATTATAATTACAAAGTATATTATCCTCTGTTTCATTATAAAATAATTTTTTATCAAAAATTTCTTTGTTTTCACAGATATATCTAGTTGACAAATTTCTATTATTTTTATTATTTATAATTTCAAGTGGGTTTAAATTGAAATTTTCATTTCCTAAATTTGATTTATACTTTACCTTTTCAAAATTGTTTAAATTATCTAAGCTCTTTAGAATAGTCATCGTTTTATTCACATAAGAATAATTATTAACATTTTTATTTAAATTTAAACAGTCAGAATATCTTTTATTATATTTTGTATAATCATTATTAACAAAAAAATTGCTATTTTTTGATAATATTATTCTTTTTTTATTAAAATGATCTAAATAAATATTCTCCATTAATCTACTTTTATAACTTCTCTTTTTTAAATTTATAGTATTACTATTTTTTTCAGAATTTTCACCAAGTTCTCTTGGACTACTAAATGTATGTCTCCTCTTGCTATCAAATAATGAAACATTTAAATTTTTTGAAAAATCCTTTTTATAATTTTCATAATTATGTAACAATAGAATATCATCTATTGTATTATTTTCTTTAGAATTATAAATATTTGACAAATTTAAGTTTTTCGATTTAGAAGGAACATTATTTATTTCATTAGAATATAAGTGAACAATATTATTTAAATAATTATTATAAATTGATATATTTGAGTTATTTATTGTGTTACTAAGATAAAAGAAATTATTATAAATTTTCGATATGAACAAATTTTCTGAATATATAAATTTTTTTAAAGATTTCACCTTTTTCTCATTTTCTTTTCTTTTTTTAAAATTATAATATAACTGTTTAAGCAGGTATTTTACATTCTTTTGTAAAATACTTTCTTCCCTTTTTGTGTTAAAATGCTTTTTTAATTTTTTTATTAGTTCATTGGATTGACTTAACTTATTTTCATAATATAAAACATCGTCATCAATTTTTTCTTTAGAATATATATATGTAGAATTATCTATATCTTTATTACGAAATTCATTTACATAACTTTTAATAAATACTAAATCTTCATTATCTTTATTTAAATTATGTTCTTTATTTTCAACTAAGTCAATGTTTTGATTCTCATTTAAATTATTGCATTCTTTTATTTCTATATTATCTTTTATTTCCTTCATTTTTTTATCAGATGTTCCCCCTGAAAAACTATTTTTTTCACTAAGATGCTCATTTTCATTTTTCTTTTTTAAATATAATGCTTGCAAAACTTTTCTAATGTATTTATTCATGTCTTTTTCTTTTTCTAGCTTTAATTTTATTGAAGACAATTTTTTTTTTTTTTTCAAAAATCCTTTTAAGTAATTTTTAACTTTTATATCCTTCTTAGAATTATACTGATACAAATTTTCTTCCTTACTGTACTTAAAAGGAGAGTAGTCTGAAAAAAAGTCATCTAAATTATAAAAAGATGAATTAGAATTTAAATATGAATCATTTAATCCATTAGATAAAATACTACTTGAAGACATTATGAAATCATCTCTTAGTTCATAATTTTTGCTATCAGTAGTGTCGTATATCTCATCAGATGTAATAGTTTTATATAACTTTTTTTTATCAGTATATTTGGAAGAAGGAATTTCTTTATCTTTATTAATATCAGTAGAATTTTCTACTTTTTTTTTTTTTTTTTTTTTCAATTTATTATTTGTTCCTCTTTTTTTTAATTTTCTTAATTCTTCATTTAGTTCTTGGTTTCTCTTCAATAATTTAGAATATGCTTGTTTATTTATTTCTTCTTTTTTTTTTAATTTATTTATAAAAATTTCTTCTCTTTCATGTAACTTTGTTATAATATTTTCTTTTTTTCGTATAATATTATTATGTTTTCTTTGTTCTTCTTTTAGTATCTTACTTGTTTTTAAAAAATTATTTTTCATTTTCATAATATCTACCTTTAAATGTTTTATTTTTTGTTCATTATCATTTAATTTTTTTTGAATTTTTTGTTTTTCATTTGTTATTTTTAATATTTCATTTTTCATATTTTCTATTTTTTTGCTGTTTTTATCGGTTTGGCTGTTTACTTGTAGATAATGTAGTTTTTTTTTTAAGTTCATTATGTTATTTGTTAAAAGTTCATTTTTGGCGTTATATTCTTCTTTTTCTTTATTAACTTTTTTAAATTTACTTAACTCCTCCTTTATAATTTTTTGTAATTTATAGAGTTTATTCTTGAGGAATTTGGGGGAATTGTTACTGTAATTTATATCTTCATTTGAGGAATTATCAAATGTGTGTTGTTCATTAATAAAATAATTTTTTATTTTATTTTTATCTAAATATTCTATTATATCTAAATTTTTTTTTTTAATTTTTTTATTATAATTATGCTCTTTCATTCCTTCCATTATTTTTTTTCTTGTATTTCCCTTCTTTGCATAGTCACTGATTTTATCTTTATTTTCAAAGTAGTTAGTATCAATGTTATTATTTGAATAAAAAAACTTGGATGAGCTATTATTTTCAGAACTATAAAAACTTTCTAGACTATTTTTTCTACCATCTTTATAATTGTTTTCTGTTATATTATTACAATATTTATTCAATGAAAAAAATTTTCCTTTTTTATGATCAATATACAAATTATAAAGTACATCCATTTTTTTAATACTATTATAACAATTATTTTTTATATAACTAAAAAATTGATCATTTTTATTACTAATTTCAGTGTCTGAACAACTTTTTTTTTTTATAAAATGTGTTAACATTTTATTTTTTATTTCCCTTTCAAACTCTACATCACTGAAACAATTTCTTTTATATTTGAAAAAAAAATCATTTTCATTCATATGATGAAAAAGTAACTTTTTTAACAAATTGGAATTATAATGATCTTCCCTAACATTTTTCTTCATTTTTTTTTTTTTTTTTTTATTTTTTTCTTCTGTCTTTGAATATTTTTTCACTCTCTTAATCACTTTTTTTAATTCCTCAATTTTTTTTTCATAAGATTTATTTTTCTCAAATAATATATTATATTTTTTATTTAAATCTTTCAATTTTTTTTCATTATAATGGTTCAATTCATACTGCCTGAATATTTTCTCCACATTTTTTTTATCCTCTGCAAAATTTACAAATAAATGAGTTTTCTCAAAAGAATTAAAATCAGAGCTATAGTCTTCATTTCCAATTGTATTTTTTTTCTCACATAATTCACATATTTTATAATTTTTATTAAACGAATCATTACATAAGGTATTATTTTTTGGTTCTTCTATTTTATTCAGTGTATCATTTATATTCGATGTATTACCATTGTTATTATTATTCTCTTGATTATTATTTTTATATATATTTTCTTTATTACTTTCATTAATTTCATTTTTTAAAAAAATATTTTCATTATAAACACTTTTCTCTATCTTATTTATATCATAAGAATTATTATTTATAATAATATCATGTTCTTTTTTACTATTTTTTTCAAAATTTATTTCATTATTATTCTTATTAATATATAAATCACATAAGTTATTACTAATAGAATCGCTTGTTTTAAAATCAGAGTTGCATATTGTTATAAAGCTATCATTATTGTTGTAATTATTATTACTATTATTAATTTTATTTTTTTCATGAATTAACTTGTAATATTCAATAAAGGCATTTTTATTTGTATCATCAGAAATATATTGACTATTTTTAAGAAAAAAAGAGTCACAACTCAAATTATAATTATTCACTTTATTAATAATGTTACTATTTTTTAAATCATCACAATGCATATGATTATTAAAAATTTCGGATTTGCATATATTTAATGATGTACTTTTTGAAACTTCATTATAAATTTTCTTGTCATGAAAATCCTCAACCTCATTAGAGTTTTTATTACAACAATCTTCTTTTTTATTTGAAAAATTCAAAAAAAAATCTTGTTTTATCACAGTATTAGAGTTTTCATTTGTATTATGAGAAAATTTATTTTCATTTTTTAATAATGTCAAATAATAAAATATAAGACAAATTAATTTTTTCCTTTTTTTTTGTAATTTCTTAATCTTTTGTATTAACATATTATTTTGATCTATTATTTCTTTAAATTTAGCATTAATTTCTAATTCGTTAGATTTATCTTTAGATCCTACTTTATATTTTTTTAACTCCAAATTTAGGTTATATAACTGCTTTCTTAATTCGTTTATTACTAAGCTATTGACATCATAATTAATTATAGGATTATTTTTAATTTTTTTAGTCCTTGAAGCATATTTAATTGTGCTTAATGTTTCATAAAAGTCTTTCGGATCAATGCTTATACAAGCAATCATAACTGTTTTACTATTCCCTCCAAGAGAATCCTGTAAAATTCTTGTTAGTTTAGAATTTCTATATGGAATATGTTGATTCTTTTTATAGTTAGATAAACTATAAATAACATTACTTAATGAAAGTAAGCCATAATTAATATTTATTGCCTCTTTTAATCTATTACCTTGTGTTTCTGTTCTTTTAGCTCTTTCACTACCAGCTAAATCAACAAAATGAAATTTAGAGCAAATTATTTCTTCCTTATTAATTTTATCATTTTCATAATTAGTATCATTTCCATTATTTACATTATCCATAGTATTATCATTATAGTCTTCATTTTTTTCATTATTATTAAGGCTTATTTCATTATTTTTCTCTTCCTTTTTTTTTTTTTTTTCTATTATATTTTTTCTCTGAATTAAATTAATTGTAAATATAGCATGAGATCTGCTTGATTTATCATTCATAAATGTTTTTTCCGTTGTTCTATATAAATTCCCTTTATGTAATATGGAAAAAACATCTTGTACATTTTCAACTTTTTCATTTTTTATTCCCATTAATATTATTTCTTTTTTATTAATGTCTTCTCTGATAGATATATTTTTATTTATTTTACTTTTTTTTTTATTTTTACCATTTTTCTTATTTAATTTTACATCATAACTAACTTCATCAAAATCAATTAAATCTACTATTTCTTCATTATAAATTTCTATATATGTACATGATACATCAAAATTTATGTTGTTCCTTTTTTTTTTTTCAATAATTTTATACATATCATCTAAAAATCTAGGCAATATTCCAATATTATCAGAAATTTCGTTCATGTAATCAAAACCCATAGTGAATGTTTTTCCTGATCCTGTTTGTCCATATGCAAATATAGTGCAATTGTATCCTTCAAATAAATTATTTAAAAATTTATTAGATAAATAAGAATAAACTTCCTCTTGTTTTGTTTCTTCTGGAAATACTCTATCAAACAAAAAATTTGTATTATGCATGTAAATACAGTTGTTATTATATTTTATATTTTTATCATCATGATAACTTATATTTTTTATTTCATCTTCATTTATTTTTATATTTTTTCTAGGTTTTATTCTTATTATAACTTCACAATTATGTTTATCATCATTATTATTAAAATCATTTTTTTTTTCTTTTTCATCTGCATCATCGTATGTTAAATTAATACTATCTAATGATTCTGCAAGATCATTTGTACTTGAAAAAACCTCTTCGTTTTCAAATTCATATTTATTTATATTCAATATATCTTTGTTAAGTTTTAATTCAGATATAATATTGTTTGATTTTCTTAAATTTTGAAAATCATTATCATATTTACCTACATTAGCTATACTACTAGAGTTCTCATTAGAAATAAATATGTCCTCATATTTATTCAAAGAAACCAAATTATTGCATATAGTGTTGTTTAATGATTTACAGACTTCCTTTTTTGTATTTAAAAACTTATTATTTTCTGAATTTTTCAATGTTTTTCTTTCATCAAAATTTTTATTTAATGAAGGTATAAATTCATTCATATTTATAATTTAAATGTATCTATATCTTTATTTTGGTACATATTTATAAATATATTAATAAATACACATATATATAAATATACTTAAATCGTTGTGTAAGTTATATCTTTTACATTAAATTATAAAAATTTGAATTTTTAATTCTTTATATTTATATCACACGATTATTAAAAAAAAGTTCATATCATTTATATTTAGATATTGAAATTTTATAAAAATTTTATTTAAAAAAATATTTAGAGTAATAATTTTTATTGTGCAATCAAAAAAAAAAAAAAAAAAAAAAATACATTTTCAGATTTTTTTTGATTTTTTTTTTTTTTTTTTTTTAATATATTTTTGTCTTTTTCATTAAAATAAATTGTAAAAGTATTAACTTAACAACACAGGAAAAAAAAAAATTTTTTTTTTTTAAATGTTATAAAATTAATAAATAAACATTTGTAATCAAAGAATGGATAATTTTAAATTTCAATAATAGGAATTTTAAAATATAAAGAATGAATGTTTTAAAATGTGCATTGAACAAATACTTACATTTCAATAGATGAATTTTAAAATATGGAGATTCATTTTTTCCATAATTTAAATTACCAAATAATATTATGAACAAATATTTTCTATAAATAAAATATACATGTATATATACATATATATAATAAAATTAACAACTAAAAAGTTATTTCATTTTGAAAAAAGTAAAAAATTAAAAATTTAGTCTAATTAAAATATATATAATTTTAAGGATATTCTGTAATAAATATGTATTTTTTATTTTATAAATAAAAATATTGTATTAAAATATATACTTAAATATTATGATATGTATTATATTTTGTAAAATAGAAAAATTGCAAATGTAATTTAAAACTTTTTTCATAAAATTTACCGTAACTGTTGTATATTTATTTATGTACTTCAGTAAAAAAATGTAAATTATAATGTTCATAAAAAATACAATTATTCTTATAATTTCCCTCCCTTTTTTTTTTTTTTTTTTTTTAGAAGATACCATATTTATACAAAAAAAAAAAAAAAGAAAAAAAAAATTTGTAGTGATACGTTGTTTAAATAAAGTAACAAGAATTAGTAACCTTTTAATATAATGTTTTTTTAAAATATATATAAATTTTTTATTTTTTAATTAAAAATACAAAATTTACCTTAAAACTATTTTATACATATATACAATATATTTGTATTTTTTATGATTTTAAGTTTTTCAAAATTTTTTTTTTTTTTATATATTTAATGATGTAGAGTTATTTTTAAACTTTTTAATCATTTTATTAATTAAAAAAAAAAAATTATATTTTTTTTTCTTCTTTCTTATGTAATAATAGAAGAATTTTTATAATTTATCTTAATTATTTTTCTCATAAATTCATATAAAAATTAAATGATGTTAAAAAAAAAAAAGTTAATAGAATGCAACAAAGCTATGTTTTATAAATGTTTTGAAAAGAACTTTTAATTTTTTATAATTAAAAAAAATGAGAAGCATTTTAAAAAAAGTAAAATTTGCAGAAAATGGAAAATTTCAAAGGTTCCATTATTGTACATCTGAAACAACCAATAAAGAAAATTCTATAATTAACTATAAAATGATATTAGGTTTAAAAAAAATAGAAATATCTAATTTATCATCTTTGTGTAGAGATTTTCATAATATTTTTAGAATAGACAAATATCAATTATTAAAGTATACAAATGAAATATTACCTTTTATAAAATTCATGAGAACAAGTGAAATAGTGATGATCTTACATCATTATTCTTTTATAAATTATAATAATTTTAACTTTTATAATAGTATATGGAATCAAATTATTAACAGATTATATGATATTGATTGCAAAGAATTGGCATTAATTATATATAGTATGGGGAAAATAAAATACATTAATAAAGATATGATTTTGTTTTTTGAAAATGAAATAAAAAAATGGATAAATAAATTTAGTGGAAGAGATTGCTCATTAATATTGAAAGGAATGAAAAATTTAAATTATAACAATGATGAAATATATGAATTACTTCATGAAAGAATTTTAAATATTTCTGATGATTTAAATATTTTAGATATATGTATCATTTTGAATACTCACAGTAAATATAAAAACGTGAATTTAAATTTATTTGAAATTTTATTAAATAAATCTTTAACATATTTTTCTGTTATAAATGAGCAATGTATAGGTTCAATATTGTGGAGTATTAGCAATGCTAACATTAAAGCAGAAAAATACTTTTCTTTATTAGGATTAAAGTTAAGGTCACTTATGTATGAAAAGTTGGTGAAAAATAAAAAAATAAAAGAGAACAATGAAATTGTTGGTGAAAATATTAATAATAGTAAAAAGAGTTCAAAGGAAGATATGCATATTATCAATAATGAAAAAATTGAATTAAATAGTAATAATAATAATAATAATCAGAAATATTTAGATAATGAAGATGTTTCTAATGTAATAAATTATAAAAAGACTAAAAGAAACACAAATGATTTAAGTGCTAATAATGATAATATTCAAAATAATCTAAATGCTATTGAGAATAACTTAAATAATAATTCTGATGATTTAGATGATTTGAATTTAGAAATAAGTTCTCATAATTCCTGCAAATACTCAAATTTATTACCATCCATCATTTATTCTTATGGGAAACAAAGAACCTATTTGAAATATAATATTAATATAGATAAGAATTTATATAATGACATTATTAATAGTTATAATGTAGAGCATGAACTTAATGTTGCACCTGTGGAAACTGTTTATTTATATGATATATCTAAAAAAATGATAAAAGAAAAAAATGTTTTTAATAATGCTAATGATAAAAAAAATAAATTAAAAAAATTTCAGAATAAAAAGTATTATCAAGACATTATTTATATAATTAATAATTATCTTACTTTTTTTCTAAATGAAGTACATTACAATGACTTAAAAAATATTTTATTTGGAATAGCAAAAATTGAAATGCCTGTTAATAAAAAATTATTGAGCGATATTTTTGAATTAATTATTACATATGTAAATCAAAACATGTATAAGCATTATGAAATTATTAATTTATCTAGATCTCTTTCATTAATTCCACATGTAAATTCAAATATATGGAAGATCTTATTAGAGAATTATAAAAATAATTTTTTATCTAGCACTCATGTTAAAAATAATAGTTACTTATTTTATATATTTTCGTTCATAAAAAATAATCTTAATAATTATAATTTTGATTCATATTTAATTGAACATATAAATAAAAAAATTAATAGCATCAATAAAGACGATATTATATACTTAATAAAGGGACTAATAAATCTTAATTATTATCACAATGAATTAGTTAACAACATTTCCAAATACATTGAGAAAAACTATGAAAATTTTAACTTAATTGACATTGTTTATATTTTAAAGTATTTCACATTAATGAATTTAAGAAATACCAACATTTTTAGCCTGTTTGCAAAAACAATAAAGAAAAAAAATATAAAATGTAATTTTGAACTTATTTCAACAGTTGCTTCATTTTATTTAGAGGTTAGAATAATTTGCAATTTTCATTTATTTGTCCATTTAAAAAATATTCTCATTGAAATAATTATTTTTTATTTTATTTTTACATATTTATTTACCTTTTTTTTTTTTTTTTTTTATAGATGAATATATTTCCAAAAATAATTGAAGATATACTAATAGATGAAAAAAGAAAAAATGAAAAAAGTTATAAAACAGAAGAAATTCAGTGTGATGAAGAATAAAATATAAAATTTATTTTGAATATTAAAAAAGTTATTAGTTTATATGTCATATAGTGTCTTTTTATATGTTAAGAAAAAAAAAAAATCTTTTTTTTTTTTTTTATATATCTTAATTTTTGTAAAATTTATAAAAGGATTTTATATGTGGTTCATACACGTTACAACTGTTATTTTGTTCATTTTTTTTTGGTATACTATCTTTAAAAGGAAAACAAAAAATGTTTTTTAAATATCTTTGATCAAAACCTTTTGGGAATAAATTTTCATTACCCCATCTACCATTTCCTTTTATGACATCATAATTTAAATTTAAACTTTCTCTTGTATATTTTGGCAATTTAATGTTGTTTTTTTTTTTTTTTTTTAAATAGGAAATGGCATTTAGCTCACTATATATACTTGGACACCATAATCCCTAAAAAAAAAAAAAAAATAAAGTTATATAAAAAAAAATGTAAAAATAAAAAGATGATATTTGACAAAAAAAAAAAAAAAAAAATAAAGAATTATAAAACTATATTAAAAAATACTTTCTATTTAAGTTTTTATTTCTTTTTTGTTACTTGAATACTTCTTCTATTTGAATAAACTTTAGGTCCTCCATGTTTTAAAAAATCTGTGTTTCCAGCACTATCTTTATATAAATTAATAATATCAACAATATGTTTAGATTTTATATCTTTTAGTGATATTTCGTATTTGCTATTATTTATATACTCAAATATAGCTTTTGGTTCTTCATATTGTTCATGTTGTATTTCAAAATTTAAATGTTTATTTTCTTCTTTGTAGTCAGGTAAAATAAATCTTAAAAAAAAACGAACATTTCTACTACTATGACCTGTTTCACTATATTTCAATAGAATTTTTTTTAATTGATAAACACCATTAGAACACATATTTCATTAAGATGAATTAGGGAATCACTATTATTTTATTTATATTTTTTTTCCCCCCAAATTTATTTTTAAATAACTATTTTTCATATTAACATTTTTAATTAAAAAAATTAAAATTTTATAGAGATATTTTTAAAAAAAAAAATTAAAAATTAAAACTTTTGAAAAATAATCCGTTTTTAAAAAAAAAAAAAATTTTTAACTACATGAAAGGAAAGAAAAATAAAAAAATAACATTTCTTCATAAAAAAAAAAATGTTATTCATTTAAATAAGTAAGCTTATAAAAAAAAATATATATACATATATTTCACTTATTATAAAACATTTTATCTATTTAAAAAAAAAAAAAAAAAATGTAAAGAATACCATTATTATTTATATTTAAAAATTAATGTGTGCGAAGTTTTTAAAAAGATATATTAAAAAAAAAAAAAAAAAAAAAGGGAATAATATTTACAATAAAATATACTATTTTTTTTTTTTTTTTTTTTCTATATTATCTAATTATAATTTTTTCAATTACATTTTTTGTGAATTTTTATAAAAATATTCAAAAATATTTTTATTTTAAACATAAAGATTTATATTTATTTATGCAACACTATTTTCGTTAGTAAACCTTTATGTATGAATTGTTTTTGTATAACATAATTATAAATTTCATATTTTTTTTAAATAAAATAATTTTTTTTCATCTTTTATAAGAAGTTTATTCATTAATTTAATGATACTAGTTTCATAAAATTATTTCTTTAAAATGTTATAAAATATAGAATTTCATTTGTTTTTTTTACAATATTTGTATTTTTTTTTTCTGTTTACTGTAAGTAAAAAAAAAAAAAAAAAACATTTTTTTGTTTAATTTTACTCGTAGAATATATTCTTGTCTTTATTTTTAGTAATTATTTTGTTTATTAAATTTTTTAAAATATTTACTATAATTAATTTTATTTTATTTTAATATAAATGAAAATGAGAGTTCACAATACTTTTAAAGATTTAATAAAATTTAATGACAATTTGAAAAAGGAAGAGATACTTATCTTATTTTTCCACAGTAGTATTTTAGATCATAATTTTATTTACGAATTGGAAGATAAAAAAAAATCCTTAATAATAGAAAATGAAAATATGAAAATTTCCGAAGGTTACATAAGATATATAGCTGATAATAATAAAGAAAAAGTTTTTATTGGTAGAATATTAATAGATCCAGAATGGAGAAAAAACTCCAATAATTATAATTTTATATATAAGAATCACGAAAATAATAATAGATATATTTTAAATATATCGAAAATAGACAATTCATTAGTTCTTCATGTAATTAATATATCAGAACCCTCTTCAATTCATTCTGTTACAATAAAAATAAATGAATACATAAAAAATAATAATGAAATAAACATAGAGAATATAGAAGAAAGTATTAAAATACAAAAATTAGAAAATATATTTCAAACACATATATTAGGAAACATGAAATTTAATCATAATAGCAATGTGGCAAGTACCAATCTTATTAATAAATTCAATGTAAATGAGTTACCAAATCCTAAAAACAACATTAGACAAGATTCTCATTTTATCAAAAATTTTAACGATGATAATTTTGATGATAAAAATCCTGTAATAAGGGAAAGTATATTACCAAATTATATAAAGCAAATTCCTATTTTAAAACCAGATGGATTATTAGTAGGGCCCAATAACAGATTTTTTGATCCTAAAAATTTGCGTTACGATCCTATAGGACCTTTTGGGCTTGAACCAAATGCAGATACGCCTACTAAATTTCCAGATAATTTTCCTTTTTAAATTTAAAAAAAAAAAATATTTATGTATATATATTTAATATTTTATTTATCTTTTTTTTTCTTTATATAATAAAATGTATTAATATATTATAAAATTTTTATTTAAAAAATAAAAAGGTATCTTATTGTTCACATTACACTTTAAATATATTATCATTCTTAAAAGAATCATAAAATGTATTATTCGTTGTTGTAACGAGTGAGGATTTTTTTTATTATTTCTTTTATTATTATTATTTTTTTTCTTTTTATTTTCAAATTTTATTTTTTATATTTATAATAACTTTTCATTAAATAACGAAACTATATATAATATTACTCACTACAATAATGATTAAAACAGTAATGATAACATGAAATAACAAAAAAAAAATAAAAAAAATAGAAATAATAATAGTCTCTATTTTAATAAAAATTAAAGTTTTTTGTTGAAAAGTCTTCATGTTAAAATATATATGAATAATAGCATAAGTAGAATTAACAAAAAACAAATAAAAAATTGATAAAAATGGATATTCTAAAAAAAAAACTTTTATAAAATAAAAAACAAATAGATATTAAAAAATTTAAATATTGAAGTTAAAGAAAAAAAGAAAGGAAAAATATAAATTCAAAATGTTATATAATGATTTTTTCATAATGAAAGACATTTATTTGAAATATGAAAAAATAATAAGAAATATTAAAAACATAAAAAGAACAATATAATTTTATTAATATCTTAAATAATTAAAATATAAATAAATAAATAAATAAATAAAAAGATATATAAAAACAAATTAAAGCAGTATCTAATTTTTAAAAATTGTGATGTTATAGAAAATTTTTACAAAAATTGGGTAAAATACTTGTCACTGCTATATATAACTCCTTATTTGCTTTACAATAATTATAAAGTGTGTCAATAAAGTAATTTTTATTTTTTAAATATATTTTACCTTCATATGAAGGATCATTTATTTTATTCTCATTTCCATTGATACTATGATGATTATATGCTTTCTTAATGTGTACTTTACTGAATTCAACTTTTATATCCTCTTTATTTTCTGAATTACATATATATGATGTATCAACTCTTTTTTCCAAATTGAAATCATTTATTTGTTCGTCTTTGTTTTCTTCCAATATATTTTCTTCTCTATTTTTATCTTTTTCGTCGTTTACAACTTTTGTTTGTTCTGATTTTTTCTTAACAACATCCTTTTTACTTAATTCGTTTTCATCTTTACCTTCGTACTCTTTTTCATTTTCTCCTCTTTTTTTTTTTTCTTTATATTCGCTTTCATCTTTAGATAAAACTTTGTATTCTTTATTATTTTTATCATCTTCTTCTTTAATCTCATTTGTTGAATAATTTAATGTACTCATTGTTTCAAAGTTATCAATATCTAGTTCTTTAAAAAAATTGATGATATCAATCTCATTTTGATCTTTATTTGTTTTTGCTTTTGTTTCAATATAATTAGTATTTTTATCATTAATTTCATTTTCTATATCACTTTTATATTGGCTTACTTCATTAGAAAAAAGAAAATTCTTTATATCAAATGGAGGATTTTCTTTTTCATTATTTGGTAAAAAATTATAATCAATAATATTTTTATTATAAAATGAATTTTCAATTTTTTTATTAAGTATTTGTAATTTATCATCAAATATATTCTCTTCATTAATATTATCTGATAAAATATTCATATGTGTAAGAAACTTTTTATGTTTTATTTTTATAATTTTATTATTTATTTTATAATGTTGAATAATTTTATACCACGAATCACAATTTTTTAAAAAGTTGCAGTTGCCAAAAATAAATAAATTATATCGAGCTCTAGTTAAAGCAACATTTAATCTTTTGTAATTAGAAAAAAATAAATTTGACTCATCTATTTCATCTACAGATGATTCTGAATTAGAATTTAATAAATCCTCATTTTCATCAAGTGAATTTTTTTTTTTTTTTTTTTTTTTAAATAATCCTTTCGTTCTCACACATACAAAAATTATAATATCTTTTTCTGTTCCTTGAAATCCATCAACTGTTCCTATATCAATAAAATTAGAAATATTATTTTTATAACCTCTTTTTGTAAAAAAAACATTTAATTCCTTTTTTAGAAAATATTTTTCTGTAGAATATGGAGTTATGATACCTATTCTTTTATACCATTCATGTATATTTTCTGAAGTAAAAATATAATCTAAAAATTCAATAAATTGTAAAACGGCTTCACTTTCTTCAATGTTAATATATGAATTTTTAATTTTTTTTTGTTTAGAAAATGATATATCGTAAAATACACTATGTTGTAACAAAGGTATGAAAAACCAGTCAATTAACCCTTGATTTTTTTTACATAGAATTATATCATTAAAATTTTTAGGCAAGTTACCAAATTTGTTTTCAATAAAGTTAAATAAATCGAAATTACATAAAAAATTTTTTATATAATCACTTTCTTTATTTTTTATTTCTTTAATATATTTATTTATTTCTATTTCTTTAAGTAGTATAAATAGAAAATAAGATGCATCTGTAATCTTATTTTTGTAGTAATATTTTTTGGGAAACTGAGAAATTTCTGGATGCATTCTATATTGAATAGATAATAAATTATATTTTGATTTATTCAATTTATATTTTTTTTGTAACCTTTCAAAAAGTGATCTAGAATATTTATATTTTTTTGCAAATAACGAAAAAACAGTAGCTGATAATTGTTTTGGATCTCCTACTAATATAATTTTTTTGCATGAAAATGACAAAGGAATTAGTATATCTAATTCAACAGATTGTGACGCTTCATCTATAATAATTGCATCAAAATAATCTATGTAGTTTATTAATGAAGCATTAGAACTAGAAGACAAGGTGGAACAAATAATAGTAGATGTTTTTAAAAGGTTTCTTTTAATAAATTTGTTTTCGTCATTTTTGTTTAATAATAATAATAGCTGTTCTTTGAATTCTAAACTGAATTCCAATAAATCTGTACTTACATTCCCTCCTATTCTAGTTACGATAGGATTAAATGGATTTCCATTTTCATCTAATATTCCTCTATTTGCTGTAATTAATCTTCTTAATATTTCATCTATAGCTGCATTAGATGGAGCACAAACCAAAATTTTCTTGTTTTTTATTAAATTCAATTTACTCATTTTTTGTTCCTTCATGTCTTTTATAATTTTTTCATTATTATCTTTGTTTATTTCTTTTTGATCAATTGCTCTATATTTTATATTTTTTCTTATAAACTTTTCTTCATTATTTATTTCCCCATTAAAACTATTTTCTTCAAAATTTTCTTTTGGATTTATTTGTATATTCGCATCTTTAACGTAGTAAGAGTAGTCATATTTTTCATTTACATTTTTTTCTAAAGAATCTGTTTTTTTTGACAAATAATCATTGTTTACATAAGAATTATAATATGACTCTGTTAAACCTATTACATTTTTAATTCTATTTTCATTATTTTTATAAATATCTTCTTCATTCGTATTAATGCTTAATCCCTCATCGGATTTTGATGTTCTATTTGATGCATTCATAATACTGAGGTGTATGGCATATGCATAATTATTTTCATTTTTATTGTTTTTGTTTTTATTAAATTGAAAAACATTTTTATTTTCATCTTCATCATTTTCTTGAAAATGATGAAAATCTTCATATTCCATTGCATCAAAGCAATTTTCATTAATATAACAATAATCATCATTTTTGTCATAATTAAGCCATACATATGGGCTTTTCTTTTTTTTTTCATTCTCTAAATTAATAGAGAACTTTTTGTTTGTAAGTGATTCTTTTGTAACCATTTCATTTTCTTGAAAGAAAATTAAAGCACTTATAATACCTAAAATAGTAGTTGTTTTTCCTGTTCCTGGTGGGCCTTGAATTAGCGTTATACCATCATTTATAATACTATTATTTATAGCTCTCAGTTGATATTTATTATACATATTAAAAAATTTTTTTTTTAACAACACTGGTATATATTTAAAACCTTCATATTCATGAAAATTTTTGTTATGGCTTATTTTTCCTGTTGTTACATGTATTGTATTATTTTCGCTAATTTCATTATAATCATCTTTACTAAAATCATTCTCATCAAAATTATTTTCAATTAAAGTATAATGTTCATCATCTTTAACAGTAATTTCTCCATTATTTTCTATTAACGATAAATATTTTTTTAAATAATGTTTAATTTTTTCTTTTAAATAATCTTCGTTTAATGCACCATTTAAATGAACATCTTGCAATTCATTATTATTATTTTTTAAAATTTTATCTTTATTTGTATTTATATCACTATATGTTTCTATTTTTTCATTATCTTCATTAATTATTTCATTTTTTTTACGTTTTTTTGTTTGTTCTGAATTGACGATAAAGCTATTTTTACTTTCTTTGTTTTCAATAATTTCATTTAATATGGAAGAATTTCTAAAATTAAATAAACAATTAAATAATTTAAGTGTTGACATTAAGCTAGTTACTTTTGATATACGAATAAAGTATTCACTTAACTTTCCTTTACAGAAAATTTCATAAATTATGTCCTTTCTTACTTTATCAATAATGTCAAAATTTTTATAATTTAAGTTGAATTTAATTTTAATATTTTCTTTATTTTTTGAAACTACATAACCTAACAAATGACGTACACAATATTTTCTAATCATATATATATCATCATTAGTTTCATCGTTTTTTTCTTCCTCTAAATTATTATAGGATCCGTTATTATTTATTTTTTCGTCTTTATTGAAGTTATCTTCATTAGCATTTTTATTATCTTCATTTTTTAATTCACTGTAATATGTTTTATCAGAACTATTATATTCTTTTAATTTTTCATTCTTTTCCATATTTTTTTCAACACTTACGAAATTTTCTTTATTATTTTCATATTCATCATAAAAAATTGTTAAATTTTTTAAATTATTTGTTTCTTCAAAATTTAATGATTTCTGAGAATTATCACATGAAGGGAAAGAATCAACTGATAAATTGTCATTATCATTATTTTGTGAAGAATTTAACAGAATTTCTGTGTTTTTTTTTGAAAATACAGGAGAGTAAAAATTATTTGAATCCATTTTTGCTGTTTTCTTTGGTATAAATCTTAATAAAACTAGATCACCATAAAAAATATTAGAATAAATTAAATTATCATATGCTAAATTGATATAGAAATCAAAGTTAAACATTTCTTTTATATCGTTTACTATGGTTACATCGTATTCTTTCACATCTTCATTTTCTTTCTTATTATTTATTAATTGTTGTGTTTCTATTAAAAATAAGGGGAAATATGCGTAAAAATATTCTTCAAAATCATTATAAACATCGGGTAATATATGTATATCTAAATCTATTTTTAATCTATTTATTATAGAATTTAAATCTAACTCTTTTTCACTCCTTAAACTAGTATAATAATTCCATCTTAAAATAATATTAACTAAGTATTCAGAAACATCAATATATTTTTTTTCTTTAATGAAAGAACGAAGTATTAATAAAACATGATCTTCAGTATCTTTATCAACATCATCATTTAAATTAAAATTTTTCGAATTCATAAGGTTATTTTTTACATTTTCTTCTAAATCTTTAAATTCATTATCTTTTGAATATTTTATGAATATATTCCAATCAAAAAAAATTTTTATAAAATATTCATCAGTCCATTCTTCCCACATTTTCATTAACTATACGATTAACTATATAAAAAAAAAAAAATATGGTAAAGATATAAAAAAAAAAAAAAAAAGCAAAAAATGAATGTATTTTAGGTGACTCAGTTTTTTATACTTATTTTTCGATGCTTTCATTTTATTAAAAAAAAAAAAAAAAAAAAAAAAAAAA